AGTATCTTATTTACTGGAGAGAATTACTGGAAGAGCACTAGAGGATTATTAGCGGGGCTGCTAACAGGAATCACCTGAGGCTAGAACATTTGCTAATACAGAGTGCTGACCTCTTTCTTTGGTATGTAGGGTTGCCAAAGGCTAATAAGGCATGTCCAAATCTCAGCTAGGTTTTCGTGTGGCTAGGAGTAGGCAATAATCCAGTTAGAAGCTGGGTTGATAGCCGGGGGTCTCTGGGAGATTCTGTGATTCTCCTTCAAAAACCTTTGCGTTTCTGCTGCTGTTGTGCCAAGGAGGAGAGATTTCATTTGCAGAATAGGCTGATGTACTGTGGGGGATTAAAAACTCAAAGCTTACATGGTAGGTTGTTTTGTTTTTATTCGAACTCCAGGTAACAAGAAAAATTGGACTATAAATAGAAAGCTTAACAGTGGGAGTAATAGAATATAGATCGTTTGTACACGTGAGTGAATGACCTTCATAACTAACTTATGAGTCACTCTAGCAAGAATAAATTGGACTACAAAACAATTAACTAGAGTGGTTTTACTTGCTAGCTGATATACTAGTCTGACAAAAATCACCTTTTTTTTTTAAAATGGGCATAGTGCTTGTTTTCGAAATGGTAATTTTGGTGGTAGGTTCCCATATTTCCATGCCCAAGCATTGGTTTAATTTCTGTTGTTTTAAAGGTAATAATAGGTTATCTTTATATTGAAGAAAACTTGTTCTAAATGAAAAAAAAAGCACAAAACAAAAAAACCACCTGAAGTAGGAAAAAAAATCTTATCACTTCCTTGTCTAGTGTATGTAAGATAAAAGTTTGGTCCTGTCTTGTTTTATTCAATAACTGGAAGCTAGGGGAAGGATAGGGTTATTTTTTTTGCTGTTCTTGGCGTTTTATGTCTTTGCTGATGGGAATATACGTCTGAACCTCAGTGGTTGCCTTTGTTCAGCATGAATACCTTGTGACGTTTCACTTGTGTTAAGTAATTGCACATAAACCAGATGGTAACAAATATTTTTATTATCATATTGATTGCTTTAGTATTGTCACTATTGCATTAACTTGGTGATTTATCATCAATCAGCTTGGATTTTTGTGGGGATACCAGGGGTGGAGGTGGAATAAATACTGCGTTTCTGACCTTCACTTTGTCAATTTGTAGTTCTGAACAGTCATGGCAGTTATAAGACTCTTTCCTTGTTTTCATACTTCTATTGCTGCTGTCACCAGTTTCTGCATTTTTCAGTTAGAGCTTGCTCTGAGCAGTGTTTCAGACTGTTACCTTTCAATATTGAGAGTCCCTACTTGTAAAACTTGGTAAAATCATTGGTACTGTACCACACTCATTCTGGGAGAGTTGTGATTGATGGAGAGAATAGTTAAAGTTCCTAAACTTTTCTGATTTTAATGCAAGTATTATGTTTGTTTGAGTATCTGTTATATGATTGCAATTTTATATGTTGCTTGTTGTTTTAAGAGCACTAGTAAAAAGCAGTTTTCAGAAAATTCTAGTAATAACCATTTTTTAGGAAAATGTGATCACGTAAATAAGGATCGCTTGTATAGGTGTCTGGTTTCCTCCCTGCCTGCTCCTTTTCTTTTTTATTTTTTTATTCTTTTGAAAGAGACTATTGTCTTCCTAATGGGGATGGAACAGCAGCTGTTCTGAATGACATAACAGTTGTACTTGAATTTGAAATAGCATTTTATCCATGACCCCTTTTCTCTGTTTCTCCCCTCTTCCTCCTGCTTGGTAGGGACCGAATGCCTCTTTGGGACACTGTGTGTAAACCTTCATACTTTGCTGCCTAAACGTGCATCAGAATACGTGTTTGAAGTACCTAATGTGGCAAGTGCTAAAATAAACACTTTGAACACTTTAAGACTATGAGTCACCAATCCCTGGCTGCTGTTTTTATATTTCAATAATTGATATAACCGATCTGGAAGTAACTTTTCAGAGACCTCATCATGGTGATCCACAATAAATCTTGACCAGAAATAAGCTAGAAAGTTCGGGTACCTGTGTGCAATATTATAAGATTTGTTAAATTCAAATTCTAAGAGTTTAATTTGTCTGTAGTGCTACTTTTTTTTCTTTTTTTTTTTTCTTCATCTTGGAAAACCTTAGTCTGACAACAGGGAGTTCTGTGGAACAGCTGAAGGATTTGCCTTATGGTGACTTGGGTGTGTAGAGATCATGATTATGCATCTGAAGAGGTGTTAAATCTGTCAAATGCTAACTGTCTGGACATCGTTAGCTTCAAATAAATACTGATTTCACTTTTTATCATACCTCCAGTGTATTACGCTATATGAGCATGTGGTGGAAGTAATATTATTTCTGTAGCTCTTACCACTTCTATTATACTGAAAAATGTAAGAGTGTTTACATTAGCTTTACTGGTTTTTAATATTAAACAGCTAAAATAAGGACATCAGCTACTTTTCATAATTAATTTAGATCCAAAAGTGAGACAGAATTTAGTCCAGAAGGAGCATAGGAATTGCCTTTTTGGTGGACTGTTCAGTTCAGTAGCATCAAATATTTCAAAGGAAGAATCTTATCTGTAACAGGAAATGTCTTTTTTTAATGAAGAACCCCTAATGTTTAAATACAGAATCACTCAGTAATATCGACCTCTTAAATGTTGTCTTCTGTTTTGCAGAAGACCCTTTTGAGGACTTCTTCGGGGGCAGGCGGGGTCCAAGGGGAAGCAGAAGCAGAGGTGGTGGATCATTTTTCTCTGCCTTTGGTGGATTCCCTGCTTTTGGAAGTGGTTTTTCTTCATTTGACACAGGTAAATATCACAACATTTAACAAGGAATGCAGTTTTGGTTCACAAAGGATCTCAATATAATAAGATGATAAATACTTTTTAAAAAAGTTGCCTTCTTCATTCAGGAAATTCTGAGGCTGCTTTTTTAAAATTAAGCTGCTCTCTGTAAAGTCTGAATGTAAATAAAGCTATAGTTACAATATTTGGTGTACCTGAAAGTTCATGAAAAGTAAACAGACCTCTAAGAGGTGGAACTTTTTGTGTTCTTAATTTTGGTGCTACAGTTTCTTTATAGCTTTAGAATTGTTTTTGTTCTGTTTGCTTTTAGGTGTTGTGGGTGTGATGGCTTTTATTTAATTGAGGTCCTGAAAATACACTGGAAAAATGTGTGCCTAAAACCCATGGTACTACGTAGTATCAGTTCTGGGGTAGTCAATTTGAATGCTGACGTCTGTATCTCAGAGGTTGCTGAGAGTTGCTGGTAGTCAGCATCCTTTCAAGTGTTAAGATTCTGGGTATTAGTTGGGATGTTAGTGATGTTCTGTCTGCTAACTCAGGGCATCCCAACATCTACTTTAAAGCAAAAAATGAGATTCACTAAAGCTACTGGCTTTACCTTGAGTGGAAAGAATGATACTCAGGCTTGAATGCCTTTTCTTCAGGGGAGGAGGTGACGGATGGTTTTTGGACAATGATGTGCATTTGGAATTTGAACTGTGGGTCCGTATGGGAGAAACTGATGGGGCTGCAGCCATGTTTTTATTCTCACACTGGTGTTTAATGCCATCTAGTCACTGATGCTGTGTTGATGCAACCAACTAAGGGCATCCTGAAGCTAGGATGTAGTCTGAGTGGATGATAAATTTGGATCCCACGGTCATGCAAAAATACATTTTTTAGTCAAATACCTTCTTTCCCAATAGGTTTTACTTCGTTTGGTTCATTGGGACATGGAGGCCTTACTTCGTTCTCCTCTACGTCATTTGGTGGCAGTGGGATGGGTAACTTCAAATCAGTATCAACCTCAACTAAAATAGTTAATGGCAGAAAAATTACTACAAAGAGGTAAGTGATACAAATATATTTGTATGAAACGATATGTAGAGACATACATAGCTATAAATACATGCATATAAATATACTATATATATACACATAAATATAGTGATACCTGTATGTATGTGTATTTTTACTTTTGCTGTTGTGGTCATCAGATTACTTGGATTTCTCTGGATGCTTTAAAAAAAATTTGAAAGGTTTTATTGGGTTCTCTGACTCTTCTTGGCATTGCTGAGTTACTTAAAGCTGTAGCATGTGAAAATGGGGAAGATGGTGTTTTTGTCTAAACTCTTTGTAGTCGAGGAGGGTTCAGATGTGCAAGACATGCTTTCAGAACTGCCCTGATGAAAAACGAAGGTTGCAACTTGTTTGCTGTTTGAAAGGGACCTGGCAATGGAGCTCTTCCAGGCCTTCAGAAGCTCCTGTGCATCTTTTATTATGGTCCTTGACTACTGTCTGCCAAGTCAGCTTGAGCTTCTGGAAGGGAAAAGTGCGCTTGGTTTCTGTTGATTGTGAAGTTTTTAACTGGGGATTGGGAGGACTTTTAATTTTGTAGACATCATGAAACATGAAACAGTTTTCCCTAACATCTGCTCAAGTTTGCTTTCCTAGGTAGTGTTTGAGTGATGTTTTTGTGTAAAAAAAGTAATTTTCTTTTATCTGTTAAGTGAAATAAGCAACTGAAACCTGCTTTGGAGAAAACTGTTCCTGTTTGTTGGAAAGTGAATTTTCAAGTACTATACACAGCGTACCTTCTCACTATTTCATGCTTGTGATGGGGAAATCACTGCACTTGGGAAACCCAAATATTAGTTAGCTATAGAGTAACCTGCATGAACATCATGATCAATAAGTTATAGGAGTACTGAACGAGTAGTTAAATGTAATTTCAATACTTAATAAAAATCTATGGAAAAGCAAGGGAGAACCAATTTTTTTGTTGGGTAACTTGTGTCCTATACTTCAAAGTGCAAGGTTCTTCTGTGTCCTGTTGCACTGGAGAGATCCTGTCATCTTGACCACTTAAATGCAGCCTTTGTCATCACACGCTGGTGTGGTCATGATACTTTTCTGTGAGTGTATTCCAGAAAAATCTGAAAACTGCCCACTTTTGAGAGAATTTTACCAGGTGAGAGAGACCAAAGAAAGTGTTTATGCAAAAGGAGATGAGGCACCATGTTTGTTTTAATATTGAAAAATAGGCTAAATCAGGTATGCCACTGTCATATCTTTTGTTATTGTATTTAGAAAGCGGGGGGAAGCAAGAAATGTGGTTAGCCACATCTAGGAAGACACACTTACTGTCTCTGAGAAGTCCTGTTACTTTGTAGAATATCTGCCCACGAGGTAGCTAAGTCTAAAGAAGATTCATATCCCAGCATACCCAATGAAAACCTTCTCTGAATAATATTTTGCTTCAGGCAAGAAGCCATTCCCTCTGTTTTTAATCTGGGTATATTCTCTTCAATAAGTCTGATCTCCAGAAAAATTTATATTCATCCATGTGGTTTCCTCATTTGAATCATGAGGGGGGAATTCCCAGATCGTTAAAATTTAGGCATAAATTAAATGTTCTAAAAATAACTTAAACATTCCTTATCTTCCCATTTCTAAAATAAACAAAGAAAGCCCAAACCCACAGCGCTCTTTAGTAATCTCCCCTTCCAGTCAGGGATACTTAAATTTTGCAGCATACATGCTGGTCATAAACTTGGTATAGAGTAGGTCTCCAAATTAATTGCTCAGATCAAACTAAAAGTGGATTAAAGACTGTCTTGGGTGCCTTACATCATGCAAAATTGTGATTGGATCTAGAATATTATGCATTTAACAAATGGGTAGGTACTAAATGCAACATCAGGATTGTACAGTTGATCTGTCAAAAGACATTTAGTTCTAGATAATAGTGTGTAGTGTCAGTACGACTGTGACAGTGTATGAGGTGACAGCTGTAACTGTGAACTCTACAAACTGGAGGATTCGAACTTCCAGAAAGCAATTTTCCTGCTATAAATAAGCAATATCAGTGGGGGAATGCAGATGGTTACTAGTTACAGCTTCTGTGCTGTTAAATACAAAAGCTTGCCAACTACAGTTGCATTAAGCAGGCAGTGCTCTGTTATAGTTCATGATCTAAAAACCTAGGTCTGGTGTGTATTTTGAAACTGCTTACAGTGCTTTAAACTGGCTAACTGTGTTTTTGTCCTACAGAATTGTTGAGAACGGACAAGAGAGAGTAGAAGTTGAAGAAGATGGCCAGTTAAGGTCGCTAACAATAAATGGTAAGGAGCAGCTGCTACGCTTGGATAACAAGTAATTCAACGCACGCATTTAACAGAAATTTTAAGCTATAACAGCCACCATTTGAGGATTGACAGGAACATTTTTTGAAGATTTCAAACGAACTCAACTTTCTGTATATCCGTACTTAATCTTAAGTAGTATAAATAGCTCACTGAAGCTCGTATTTGTCATAGACTTTTGAGTTAATTGTTGGGACCACATCAATTGGACCATTTTTTGTCCTTTAAAATTGTTGTAAATTTCTGTATGCACTTTTCTTTTTATTATATATGATCAAGGTGAACCATGATCCTTCAGTAGTGCTAGGGCGAGATGTACACTAACACTAGCATGAATCTTGCTTTTTCCAATTTGAAATGTGAGCCAATTAGTAGTTTAAGTCTGCTGTGAAGTTAACATTTCCAGGATAACCTTTTTAATAATTTCAACTTTTTTTTTAAATGTTTAGTAGTGAACAATGTTAATACATTTCTGGTAATGCATTTCTGGTTTAAATAAATTAAGGATGTTTTCTAGTTGTGCATGAATGCAGACAACTTAGTAAGTTTTGACAAATGTTTAAATGTGTAATGTAAGCAAAAGGTAAACAAAAGTGAAGCCAGTGAGCTGAGTCTTTTGTCATTTGCTAAAAAAAAAAAAAAAATTCAAAATGAATAAATGCTGATGTCTGTGGTGCATTCTTTCATGAATGGCATTTGTAACCTTCTTGTGTCTGTGTGTGATTTGGGCAACTTGGGAAAACAGTGCTTTTTTTTTTTTCCTACCACCTTTTTCTTCAGTCTTAAGGATGAGGGCCTTTTTTCTTTGCAGATGTTTTCTCCAGTGTGACTGAAAACATGATATTTAATTTCTTTTCTAAACCTGCATTTGAAGCACCTATTTTTAAGAAGCATTCAGAGGCTGACTCTCTAACTCCATCTTTTGCCCTAGTACATAATTTTTTTTTTTGGTCTAGGACTAAAGTAACTCCCTCTGTTTAAAAATTAAAAAAGTTTTCTAAAGTTTTAAGTTCTGCGATTGCTTCAAAAAAGTAAACATAGTTTACTACATATATTTATGTAGTGAACATAAATATACAGGAAAACATTTAATAATTAAAAAAAGGCTTTCTGAACGATAAGATTTTTATGCTTATCTTGAGAACAAACATAATTGCTTTGAATAAGATTTGAATAAATTATTAGTGTTACAATATATCACTCTTATTTTTAGTCATCAACCAAAAATGGAAAGATGGATTAATGCCTTTTGTTAAATTAATGGAGTGAAGCAAAGTATTAATTTGTAGCTAAGTCTAGATTTCAAAGTTTAGTGAAAGATGACTTGATTTCTCTATGTCATAGAGAAGGCATGCAAATAACTATTGGCATATGTTAACACCTGTCAGGCTCTGGGTAATTTCATGCATAAATCATGGATGTGCAGCTTTTATCTGTGCACCAGCTTTGAACATCTGGCCTTCACGAAATTCTTCAGGGTGGCTTAGTGTTTAAAAAAAAAAAAAGCATGGTGTTTTCAAATGATCACTTAATGCCTGAATCTTGCTGAACACCATCTGCTTTGCACTAACAAATGCGTTGATTATTAAATACATCGAAAAGATTTGCTCTTTTTTATCATGCAGGAAAACCAATTCGTCTTCTAACAAACTGCTACAACAGAATTCATATTTGCAGCAAAGTTGGTATATCTTACATTTGTCCCTCTACCATTAATGCTAATTTCATAAACCAAACAAAATAACAGGTAGAAGAAGAAATAAATATGTACTTTGGTTTTGGGACTACAAAAGTTATGTACCTTTTCAAGTTCTTTGCAGAGTTCTTGTTACTTCAGTGTTGTGTTTTTGGTGTAGAAGCACAAACTCAGTTTAGAACTAAACAGTGTTTTCTTGTTAATGCTGTTTTTTTCCTTCCCCATGTATGTTCCTTCTTGATCCAGATAACTAAACAGACAATTTATTTCAAAATCTGGCTTTGTTGTGATGTCTTGAGTTATTAAAAATGTTAATTTATATTTATAGGACACAGTGTGCTCCTTTAAGTTATGTAAACTGTAAAAAGTGCTTCAAAATTGGTTAACCAAGTCAAATAAAATTAGGACAATCTGGAGTTGAGTTTGAATTCCTTCCTGTGGATACCCATAGGTTTTACACTGAGCTGCCAAACTTCACCTTCTATTTTAGTCCCCGGTAATCTTCTTTAAAATTTAAATTACCTAGCTCAAGTTAAGAACACAATTATGATAGCATACCTGCAAGTGGCAAATCGGTACCCACATGCTTGCCTTAGATCTTCTTACCCAGAAAAGTGTGGTCCTTCTCACAGCATTATATAAGAACAGTTCACTCCAGGTTTTTATAATGAAATCTTTTAACACTGTAAATTTGCTGAAGATCCAGTGTTTTGGATAGTCTCTCTTCTGCCTTCAGATTCCTGAAGCTGGTTACTGTCAGAGCTGGACAAAATGCAGCATTAAATGGCAGTGCTGCACTTTCTTGGTAGAAAGAGAAACTGGCAAAGCATAAAGACAGGAAGAAATGAGTCAGCAGAAGGGAGAATTCAACAGTAAAGACTTCTACGGTAGTAAGCAGATACCCATACACCAGCATTTGAATAGGCTGGTGGTTGAACTGGGTGGATATAATTGGACTGGCAGTTCCAGTTCCAGCTGTAAAAAAAGAAAAAAAAGAAAATAAAAAATTGTCACCTTCTTACACTTGACCTAAGCCCTAATAGTTTTGAAATAACACCGCATCCAACTTTTTTTTTAATGCAACTTCTTGCATCCAACTTTATTTTTAATACACAAAATAAGTCCTCACTCTGTTTACTATGGATCCAATTTAAATTCTTCCTATTATGTATTATATATCCAGAATTTCTTATTTGTGCTGCTGAAATGAGTTTCTTTTCTCTTGGAAACCCACTTATTAGGTTGCTCTGAAAAATTTTATGTCATTCCTTACTAATATGTAATTTGCATGGATGTACAAAACCTACTCGCTAGAAGTAATGGATCATCAAGGGAAGCACATTTCCTTAAACTTCAATTTTGGCCAAAACAGCACAAAATACTTAATAACAGAAAAGGTTCTTGATTCTAGCAAATGCTAGGCATCAAATGTGCAGTGGCACGAGGTAGCTTTCAAAACCAGGTACTGTTTGATTAAAAGTACCATTTCTTCATACAGGAGGGATTAATTTTGAACGTTTAGGGACACCATCCAGTTTAAATTAAGCTTCCTCTAGTGGTTTGGAAAAACTAGGATGGAGTTTTTGAACCTGCTAAGTCACTTACTCTTTCATGCTCTGCTTCAAAGTTCATTGGTAGAATACAATAACTTTGTAACGCTTTTTCTTGGTGCAACCTCTTTTTGGTCTCTTGTGCATGGCCCTAATTTCAACACACTACACTGTAACACAAGTTTCTCTTTAGATTGCATGGCACCTGCCCCTTTCACTTGGCTTTACTGAAGAAGTTTGGGATTTTGCCTTAGAATGCTTCACATTTTAAAATTGCTGCAACTATTGTGCTCAGTCCTTCCAATACCTTCCCTGTTGAGCACCACAGGCATTGTTTTGTGGGACAAGCGACAAAGCTGCTCTGCAGAGTAAGGGTCCATAGCGTTTGTAAGGTGTACATGTATCAGCTTGTGATTAATTGATGGACTTAGTCTTAGAATGCTGAAATCAGGGCTTGTAAAAGACTTTAAAAATGTATCTCTAAACAAGCCCAAGGGTTTTATACCTCTCTGTCAGTGTTCGTGTTTGGCTGTCCTGTTTGCTTGCCGCCTCCGGTGTATTAGCTTTAGGTGTAAGTGGAGCTTTGTCTTCTGTATTTAGCTGTGCTTACATGTTTTAGCCTATCTCTGGGCTGGTCCAGTGATAAAGTTAGATTTTTATTTTTAATTTTTGGAAACCTGAGTTCTGTTCCTGAATTTGCTTCTGTTCTGTTTGAAAAGTGAGCTTGTTTCCTACTTTGCCTTAGTTTAATCTGTGATTATAAGAGCATAGTGTTTACCTCTAAAGATCGTTGCATTGCAAAACGAATGTTACAGCTGTATGATGCTTGTGGTTAGAGAACTTCTCAACGGCACTCAATGCAATGCATTAATGTAGTGTTAGGATTCTTGTTAACCTTTTTGTGGAAGCATTTCGTAGTACTTCTGGAGAACCTGCTTCTTTGGTCCCGATTTTTGGATGTCTTTAGTACTTAGGTTTATTTTTAAGTCATGGTGTTCTCACGAGGTAGTTGCAGTACCGACACCAGTAATCTGCCAATCAGCAGTAACCCGGACTTTGAAACGTTACTTTTTTTAAGGTAAGAAAAGGAAGCTTGTTTGCACTGTCTGCTCCCTCTGGTCTTGTTTGCTTTGGGACTGAATTGTGACCACATACTTGCTTTATGTAGTACTCAGCATAGACAGTTTGGGTTTTCTTGTTACTGCTTGTCTTCAAGTGGTTGTCTTAAGTAAAAAGCTTTTTATCTTCCACCCGAAATGCTGAAATGATCCTTCTGTTGCAATAGTGTTGGAACGAAGCAAATTTACTTTGTTAGTGTTACAAACTATACCTTTTGAAGTCATCATTATAGTGGGTTTACTGCTTGATCTGCTTTGGTTTTGGAGAAAATACCTCGACTAGAGTTGGTTGTTGAGTGAAGTGCACTACTGAAAAGTTAGAGCAGGACGGTTGGTTTATACTCTGCTACCCAGGTCATACGTTCACAAAACTGTAAGCCCCACTTTTGAGATGCTGCTGTCAGATATACAAAAAAAGATTAAAAAAAATGCTGTGACCATCTGAGCCGTAACCCTGAGCCTATACGAGCTGCCTGCTGATTCAAAGTCACTGAAACTTCTCGGAAAACTGTGCTCTGGCAGACTGAGCCCTAGGTTAGGTGTTATCTTACTTACAGCAGCTGGTAGAAAGTTAATTGAAAACCCATGTGAGTACTATATCCCCTGTCATGCTTA